GGGCCCCCCCCCCCCCCAAATGGTTTCATAACTATTGAAAAGATCATAATAATTACAGTATCCTTTGTTATGGGATAAAAATTTACAATCTGTGTTGATGCGCAAATACCAGATCTACAGTCTTAATTAAAGCTTGTGTCGTTGGGTTCCTTAGCCTCTTAATAATAATAAAATAAAATAAACGTTTTCTCACTCATCTGTCCTTCCCTTTATAAAGAACCTACAAGAATGATAAAACTCAAATTTCATTAGGTAGATCTACATTTAATTTATTTTATATTTTTGAAACAGTTTTAAAAAAAATCACTTCGATCTTTAATTATTTACTCACATCAAGGAACGTTCACGTGTATTTTCAAAAGTGTAAAAATATGAAAATTAAAATTAAAATCAAAATATGAAACTGAAGAGCTCACGAGAATGACAAAATTGTACAATCGTTAAAACGCGCAGCGCAATCTTGCGCGCACTCCGATCGGTAAATTGCGTGGAACATAATCGTCTATTAGTTCAGCCCTATCATTCGTAAATAATGAAAGCATTAGGAAACATCAGTGTTGTCGTTGTTTTAATGACCCCCCCCCCCCTGGTGATTGATTTTAGTTGTTTGGATTCTTTTTCCAGGGTGGTTAGCATTGTTGGTTTTGAAATTGAAAGCCCCATATAATGGGACCATTTAATTTTCAACAGAATCGCGAGGTCTATCTTCGGCCTTGTCAAACGTAAGACGTAACAATCTGTAATCCGGTAGATCTAGATACCTTTTTTTAAAAATAGATTTTATTTTGTAAATGTTTTACGGTGCTCGCAACAGCATAAGGTCACATGAGCGTGCGGGACACACTGTACATTTTCAGTAGGTAGGAAATTTTGAATTTTGCCTGGGTGGCGGCCGACGCCTACTTTTATCGATTTTAGACCACCGAGGGATCTTTAACGTGCGCAACTTGCACACGGCTAGATACTTTGCCTGGACCTGAGGTTAGAAACAGGACAGGTATCAGCAGGCCTATGGGGACGTTCAAATAAAATAATCATGTGCCTGGAAAGGGGTGGGGGTGTGGGGCTTTGGCTCTTGTAAGAAAAAGGTAAGAAAG